ACAAACACAGACACACACTCACAGGCATAAACAAACACAGACACACACTCACAGGCACAAACACACACACTCACAGGCACAAACAAACACAGACACACGCACACAGGCACAAACATACACGCACACACACAGGCACAGGCACAAACAAACACAGACACAGGCACAAACACACACACACGCACACACTCACTAGCACAAACACCCAGATACAGACACACACACAGACACAAACATACAGACACACACACAGACAGGCGCACACACACACGCACACATCCTGGAACGCCCTCCCTAGAGGCGCTGTGTCCCTACACCACACGGGGAAGTCAGGGGTGGGGTGGGTGTGGTAGTGGTTACAGATGGCGGCTCACCCCCACCTTCTCAAGGGGGGGTAATTAGGGACAGGTCAGTAAATGCTGGGTCCAGCCAACGACACCCACATCCTGTGAGTAACTAAAAAAAACTGTTGATCCTGACAGCTTTCCTCCAGAATATTCACCAGCAGGATGCTGAATGAGAGAGGGAGTGTGAGACGGGGAGACAGAGAGAGAGAGAATCTAACCTGCAGCTATATGTGTGTGTGTGAGTGAGAGAGAGAGAGATGGTGCGATGCAGGAAGAGCAGAGACCTACCTGCAGGCCATGCAGGATCGATGACAGACGGGAGAGCCGGAATAAGATCTCCTGCACAAGAGAGAGCAGGAGGACAAAGTTACAGAGACAAAAATTGACGAGGCACTGCTCCCATTACAGTCTTCACCCAGACAGACCCAATCTCACACACTCAGGGTCACACTGACCAACACCATCAACGGTCTGATCTTTCCCACTCAATACTCCCCCCCACCCTTGACTCGATATCCTCTCCTTCTCCCTCTCGATATCCTCCTCCCCTCCCACTCGATTCTGTTCCCCCTCTCACCTCATTGTGGGATTTCACCTGTAGCTGGTTCCCATTTCGATCCTAGGAGACAGAGTAAGACGTTAATCTTACAATCCAGTGGGCGGGATCAAACAAATTTTGGGGAAAAGAGGGAGGGAGGGAGGGAGAAAAGGAGGGGAGAGATAGGCAGGGGTTAGAGAGAAAGAGAGAGAGGGAGACGCAGATAGAGAGATAGAGGCAGAGTACAGAGACAGACAGATATACACAAAGGCTAACAGAAAGAGAGTCAGAGAGAGGGAGGGACGGAGTGTGGGAGAGTGAGAGAACTGACAGATGGATACAGGGTGTGGAGAGAGAGACAGAGAATGTCGGCGATGGTTCTGAGACACGGTTGGTTTGGGACGTCGGACAGACACAGGCTCATACCTGGCCACTGTCAGTGGGTGAGTCTGTCTGGCAGACATCGTTACTCCCATTGATATTGGGCAGCTCCTCATCTGAGAGAGAGAGAGAAACAGAGACAGAGGCTTAATAACACAAACTTACACACACACACTCACCCCCACTCACACACACACACTCACACACAC